TCTCTTTTAATTTAAAAGATAAAAGGAGGGTGGCCACTTTTGGTGGGACACTCTTTTTTATCTTTTAAATTAAAATAAATAGACCATAACAAATATATATCAAATTAAATGGTTTAAACTGAACTCTATTGTAAGCATAATAGTTGCTTATAAAAGCTATTCGTGTTAATGAACGGAGAGATATGCATAATTTTTTTATAATAATGTGGACATTTTGATGTAAGATAAATTGTAGTGCTGTTTGAAAAGAATACAACGATGTATAATTTAGTATAAATATTTTACATATTATACGAATTTTATTGGCTTGAAATATCATGGGCGACGTCTACCTTTTCACTTTCGGCCCTGTGATATAGCCAACTTCAATAATTAATTAATAATTAACAGCGCTACAATTTCAATTGACATACATCAATCTCTAACGCACGAGTCAGAAGTTGGTCATATCGCAGGACCGAAAGTGAAAAGGTAGACGTCGCCCGCGATATTTCAAGCCGATAAAACTCGTATAATATGTAAAATATTTATATTAAATCATACATCGTTGTATTCTTTCCAAACAGCGCTACAACTTTTCTTACATCAAAATATCCACATTATTATAAAAAAATTATGCATACCTCTCCGTTCGTTAACACGAATAGCTTTTGTAAGCAACTATTATACTCACAATAGAGTTCAGTTTAAACCATTTAATTTGATATATATTTGTTATGGTTTATCTCTTTTAATTTAAAAGATAAAAAGGGGTGGCCACTTTTGGTGGGACACCCTATACAGGGTGGGCCATTTTAATCCATCCACGCAAATAACTCCGTAAGTAAGCCAAATACAGAAAAATGGTTCAGACAAAAGTTGTTCGGGACAATGGGGGTCACCTATTTATGCTAGTGACTTTGACCTTGAAGTCAATTTTCAAGGTCATTTGAAGGTCAGAGTTATTTCTTTTAATGGAAACCCCTATTTTTGATTCCAAAATCTAATAACTGGTGTCAAGAGCTTTTCAAAACACTATAATGAAGTTATTTTTCATTAAGTACTTTTCAAGTTATGAGGCTTGTAAATTACAGTATTTTGACATAAAATACAAAATATCTTGTAAAACATTCAATTTTTGGGAATCTTACCTTAATACTTTTATGCATAAAATAATGAGACAAATCAGTTGGTAATAAAAAAAAACACATTGGTTTTAAAAAAAGTATGCAGTTGCATGTTGCAAATTACATATTTTTTCTTGAAAGCAACTGTGTTTTCTTTATACCAATTGATTTGTCTCATTATTTTATGCATAAAAGTATTAAGGTAAGATTCCCAAAAATTGGATATTTTACAAGATATTTTGTATTTTATGTCAAAATACTGTAATTTACAAGCCTCATAATTCAAAAAGTACTTAATGAAAAATAACTTCATTATAGTGTTTTGAAAAGCTCTTGACACCAGCTATTAGATTTTGGAATCAAAAATAGGGGTTTCCATGTAAAAAAATAGCTCTGACCTTCAAATGACCTTGAAAATTGACTTCAAGGTCAAAGTCACTAGCATAAATAGGTGACCCCCATTGTCCCGAACAACTTTTGTCTGAATCATTTTTCTGTATTTGGCTTACTTACGGAGTTATTTGCGTGGATGGATTAAAATGGCCCACCCTGTATACAGGGTGTCCCAAAAATTGTGACACAGCGGCCGTATGCCGGTAGAGCAGACCAAACTGAACCGAAAAGTCCTCTACCATTTTACAATTTTCACAAGGGTTAAAGATATTAATTATTAAAGA